AGTTATATGTATGTTCCCTATGTTTTCATTTCAAAAATTTGTCAGTATTTCTATGGTGGAGGGTATCCAAAGTTCGGCCCGGCCGAACTTAACGCTTTTTTACTTGTTTATAGTTCTTATGGGTGAACTCGCGGTACATAACTGCTAATTTTTTCAACGGACGATAAAAATAGCTACCACAGGGGACACCGCGGGAAGATCAATGTCCACAATTGGGATGAAAGAGGGACCAAGATAAGCCTGGGCTTCGCCATTTTAAAGCCAATCAGAACCGTTGCTTTGGGTCTATCATCCCCTGCGCCATTCTAGGTTGTATATGTAAAAACATCTTCGCAAAATTTTTCGAGGTAGGTCCACTCTTTGGTATATCTACCATAATTTGTCATTCTGGGTTGTAGGCGTGTAAAAAACTTCATTCCTCATATTCCGCATTTTAACGAAGGGGTTGTAATTTAGTATTCCATGTTATAAAAAGGGCAACTGCATATTTCAAATATAAATATGTGGTTTGAGATGAAAGTACCATGATATTTTAGATATCTTGTTGCTAGGTTAGGCCATTTTCCAACCGAAAGAAGGGATTTTTTACCTGGGGTCAATTTCCAACTGAAGTGACCATAATTTTGCATCTGTAATTTGAAATTGCCAGAAGAATTTAAATATAGATCCATATTTTTGTAAAGCTCATCAATAGGAATCCTTTAAAATTATTTTTGCTTATATTCAATCTATACCAGATTTTTTGTCTATAAAACACATTTAAAGAGTCTCCTATATAGAAAGATTCCAGAAAAGTAGTTCCTCTTATTTGTTCTTGCAATAATATATCCCTCTCTATTCTTTAAAGTTTCCCTCCAGATGCCACTATTTAAATCTTAGCAATCAATAAGTTTTTATACCCTTCACCACACTGTGGTACAGGGTATTATGTCTTTGTGCATATGTTTGTAACAGGCAAAAATAATCGAGATAGACCCATGGTTCCTTTTGAGAATATGCATAGAATCACTTTCTAAGTCGATTTTTGCATGTCCGTCCTCCGTCCGTCTGTCTGTCCATGTTAAATTGTAAACAAAGTACAGGTCGCATTTATGATCCGAATTGGATGAAATTTGACACAGCTCATTTGTTTGGCACAAGGACGAACCCTATTGAAATTGGGAAAAATCGGTTCAGATTTAGATATAGCTCCCATATATATTTTCGTCCGATTTAAGGTAAATGATGCCCCATAGTCCCTATATAACTTTAGATTTGCACGAAATTTGGCACAGCGTAATGAATAGGGTCACGAATGATGTGTGCAAAGTTTCGTGAAAATCGGTTCAGATTTAGATATAGCTCCCATATATAGCTTCGCCCGATTTTAGGTAAATAGTCCACTAAAGTCCCTGGGAATCTTTTGACTTGCACGAAATTTGGCACAGCGTAATGAATAAGGTCTAGAATGATGTTTGCCAAGTTTCGTGAAAATCGTTCAGATTTAGATATAGCTCCCATATATATCTTCGTCCGATTTAAGGATAATTGTGTATCAAAGTCCGTTTATATATTTCGATTTGCACAAAATATGACACAGCGTACTAAATAAAGTATAGAATGATGTGTGCAAAGTTTCGTGAAAATCGGTTCAGATTTAGATATAGCTCCCATATGTATTTTCATCCGATTTAAGGTAATTGGTGCACCAAAGTATATCTTTCGATTTGCACGAATTTTGGTATAGGGTACTGAATTAAGTCTAGATTGATGTTGCTAAGCTTCGTGAAATGATCCATAGCTAGGCCGATTGACACATAATACTGATGTTATATAAATTAGTCTCTGGCAAGTTTCCCTTAAATCGGTTCAGATATAGATTTATTTAGGATACATTTGTAAAATATACCCAAAGTGGTGAAGGGTATCACATAGTCGACCCAGTCCGACTTTACTACTTTCCTTACTGGTTTATCTATAAAATACATTTAGATGATCTCCTATATAGATAAGATTCCTGAAAAGTATTTCCTCTTATTTGTTCTTGCATTAATATATCCCTCTCTATTCTTTAAAGTTTCCCTCCAGATGCCACTATTTAAATCTTAGCAATCAATAAGTTTTTTTCTTATAATTTTTTCACTCACTTTTTTGCAACAACTTTTCCTTGTCATCGTTGTCGTTTAGGTGTCTGTTGCTTTCGCAGATTTATTTCGTTATCACCGGTATTATTATTGTTTTTGTTGTTATCCCCAATCTGAAGGGAATTTTCTATTACAAAAAAATCACTTGATATCTTGGTTTATATAACAGCAACAATTTTAATTTTACATCTTCACTTTGATAGTCGCTGTAATACCAATAACAACAATAAAGTTTTATTTTTCAATATGAATGAAAGTATCGAGAAAAGTGTACTTGACAAACATTTTCTTCTCCAGCTACTGGACAGACTAATAAAATACAATTTTGCTATTTGCATTGGCGATACTTTGGAGGGGCCAGAAAATGTAAATAATAGGAAATTAATATTTCAATATCATGGCTAAGATTATGATGATTACGATGTTTTTGTTTATTATTATATTTTGTATTTACAAACTACTTATTGGAATTTAATAAAGACACAAATTAAATATGATACAATTTGAGTTGGTATTATTTGGATATTGAATTGCTATTCGTTGACAGAAAACTTAACTTAATATTTATACCCTTCACCACACTGTGGTACAGGGTATTATGTCTTTGTGCATATGTTTGTAACAGGCAAAAGGAAACGAGATAGTCACATGGTTCCTTTTGAGAATATGCTTAGCATCAACTTCTTAGTCGATTTATGCATGTCCGTCCGTCTGTCTGTCCATGTTAAATTGTAAACAAAGTACAGGTCGCAATTGTTATTCGAATTGGATGAAATTTGGCACGGCTCATTCATTCGGCCCAAGGACGAACCCTATTGAAATTGGGAAAATTCGGTTCAGATTTAGATATAGCTCCCATATATCTGTTCGTCCGATTTAAGATAAATGGTACACCAAAGTCCCTAAATATCCTTCGAATTAAGCTTAGAATGATGTGCACCAAATTTCCTATATGTCCGATTTAATGTAAATGGTGCACACAAAGACCCTATATATATTTCGATTGGCACGAAATTTGTCATAGCGCACTGAATCAACTCTAGAATGATGTGTGCCAAGTTTCGTGAAAATCGGTTTAGATTTAGATATAGCTCCCATATATATTTTCGTCCGATTTAAGGTAAATGTGCACCAAATTTCCTATATATCTCGGGATTTGCAAGAAATTTGGCACGGCATATTGAATTGAGTCTAGAATGATGTGTGCTAAGTTTCGTGAAAATCGGTTCAGATTTAGATATAGCTCCCATATATATTTTCGTCCGACTTAAGGTAAATGGTGCACCAAAGTCCCTAAATATCTTTGGCTTTGCACGAAATTTGGCACAGCGTGCTGAATTAAGCCTAGAATGATTTGCGCTAAGTTTCGTGAAAATCGGTTCGGATTTAGATATAGCTCTCACATATACTTTCGCCCGATTTATATAAATAGTCCACTAAAGTCCCTATATATATTTCGCTTTGCACGAAATTTGGCACAGGGTAATGAATAAGATCTAGAATTGTGTGTGTTAATTTTCATGAAAATCGGTTCGGATTTAGATATAGCTCCTATATATATATTCGTCAGATTTAAGGTAAATTGTGTAAAAAAGTCCCTGCATATTTTTAGATTTGCACGAAATTTAGCATAGCGTACGGAGTTACGTCCATATTAATATGTGATAAGTTTCATGAAAATCGGTTCAGATTTAGACATAGCTCCATACACATATTCTATTGATTCTATGTAATTGGTGCACCAAAGTCCACTAAGTCCTCTACTCCATTAATTCCCTATAAATATTTCGCTTTGCACGAAATTTGGCACAGTGTAATGAATAAGATCTAGAATTGTGTGTGTTAATTTTCATGAAAACCGGTTCGGATTTGGATATAGCTTCTATATATATATATATATATATTCGTCCGATTTAAGGTAAATTGTGTACAAAGTCCTTGCATATTTTTAGTTTTGCACGAAATTTAGCATAGCGTACTGAGTTGCGTCTATATTAATATGTGCTAAGTTTCATAAAAATCGGTTCAGATTTAGATATAGCTCCATATACATATTCTACCGATTTTATGTGATATCTTTCGATTTGCACGAATTTTGGTATAGAGTACTGAATTAAGTCCAGAATGATGTTGCTAAGCTTCGTGAAAAGATTCATAGCTAGGCCGATTGACACATCGTACTGAAGTAATATAAATTAGTCTCTGGCAAGTTTCCCAGAAATCGGTTCGGATATAGATATATAACAAGCATGCGACGTCTGTTAGGATACATATGTAGAATATACCCAAAGTGGTGAAGGGTATCATATAGTCGGCCCAGTCCGACTTTACTACTTTCCTTACTGGTTTTCTTTCAAATATTGTTTGCAAATTTTAAACAAATACTGTAAGAAGAGTACATGTAGCACTTAACATGACTTCATCGGGAAATGCTGTGGTCTATCCTGGAAAATCGGTAATTGGCCCAGCAGTTATATTTCAAACGGTTGATTCAATAAGGATGTCTAGGAATATCCTTTCTGGGTGTAACGTCCCACAAATACTTAATACTTCCACTGGACCTCGTAAAAGCTAGAAAACCCTCCATAAATCGTCACAACTGCTCAAATAGTCAACGACTTAAAATCATTGATAGTGTATCCCTAATAGTCCTCTATAAATAATTCTATAAAGATACCTTAAAAATCCCTATACAGTTTAAAATATGTACATGTACATACATCCTGGTGATGACATGTATCATAAACATAAATCTAAATATGCAATATTGTCATAATGTGTTAAACTATAACAGCTTTATTATGTCGCCTAGTAAAACATCATAAATCAATTTCTCACCCATCCTCCTCTTCTCCATTTTTCCTTTCTTTTTTGCAGGTTGAATATGCCACCACAGAATCGGTTGTAACAGTAGACTGGGAAAATGGTTTCGCTGAAGTGTCAGCGGCAAGGAATGAAAATATCACTCAAGTAAGTACACCAAAACCCCCTCTACATTGCCCATAACATTTACAACAACAAAATTGACAACATAATACAGATTATTGTTATTTCATAACAAAATATAAAATATAAACAAAAAGACAGCGAATGTCTAACTAACTCTTGTTCTTGTTTCATATATATTTTTTTCAATATCCTTTCTCTCTCTTTTGTTTTTCGTTTTTTTTTTTCACCGCCAAAACAATAGGTCTTCAAAGAGCTATTATCACAGGCAAAAATCACGTACAATTTAAGTCCAGCATTACGTCGACGCCGTCAATCGTTACCACAACAAGTGGGCAATAATGGAGCGGGTACACCGACACACCACAACCATCCATCGTCACATCATCATCACCACCATCCGCAATCGCACTCATCTGCCTCGTCGTCATCATCATCCGCCTATGGTGGTGCAGCAGCCGCCCATGCACCAACGGCAGCCCAATTGCAACATTTGCAGCGAATACAGGAACGCAGTTTGGGTAGCAAACGTAATTCATGTGCAATTTCCTAAAAATGTCAGCAACAATAATAATAGCAACAGTAACAACAACAACAGCAGCAGCAACAACAAGCATCCGTTACCACCAACCAGCAGCATCAACAACAACAACAGCAATCAAAATAAACTAAAACTAACAACAGCTAAAGTGTTTACAAAACGGATACAAAAATCCTTTAGAGACATGCAAACATAAACATCCATCCATACATATACCTACATACCTATATATACATAGTTAGATGATGATATGATACATGCATGGATATAAACTTTATACATATATACATATATTTTAAGTACATTTATCAAATGAATACAGTACAGTGATGGGAATTTAAATAGGAAAACGTTTATGATGAGGTTCTCAGGAAGAGTATCAAGGATCTCATGAAGGAACCAACCAACTAAAGGATATCTCATCCATAAATACCTTATCTCATCCATAATATCTTATGTATGTAAACGATCTCATAAAAGTTCTACGTCCATACAATTCCTCACGAAAGAGAACTATAAAAAATAATATCAGGGTTTCTATATAAAGTAGATGTTATGAAGGCTATTCTATCTATAGAAGATTTTTTGAAATGTATACTATCTATAGAGGATCTCGTGAAACGATTTTTAAAATTTATTTATTTATTTTTTGACGACATAGGCATGGAGTTGTGAAAAATATTTTTTTAAGGACTCAACCTAGGCGCGAAGTTCTTTAAAACATTTTTTTATATGCCATATTTTTTCATTCACCAACTATAGGCGTGGATTTTTTAAAAATATTTTTTCATCTATATACCATTTGTATTTTGTTTTTGCAAAATAGTCAAGCTGAATCCCAGTTTGTTGTTTTTATAAAAAACAACTATTTATTAGTGCGGAATGTATGGCATTGTTCATTCACCTAACACAGGCGTGAATTTTTATACCCTTCACCACACTGTGGTACAGGGTATTATGTCTTTGTGCATATGTTTGTAACAGGCAAAAATAATCGAGATAGACCCATGGTTCCTTTTGAGAATATGCATAGAATCACTTTCTGAGTCGATTTATGCATGTCCGTCTGTCCGTCCGTCCGTCTGTCCGTCCGTCCGTCCATGTATTTTTGTTAACAAAGTACAGGTCGCATTTATGATCCGATTTGGATGAAATTTGGCACAGGTCACTTAATTGGCCCAAGGACGAACCCTATTGAAATTGGAGAAAATCGGTCCACGTTTAGGCATAGCTCCCATATAAGGGTACCCCAAAATTTTCGGTATTTTGAGGTTCTTGAGCGCGTTTTTTAACTGAATTCGCTGAAATTTGGTACTTTGAGTTCTTATTGGGTAGCAAATCTCCCTACCAAAAATTATAAATAAAGGTCCATTTTTTCGGATAGCCCCCATATAAGATTTCCCCCAATTTTCGGTATTTTGGGGGTTTTGATCGCATTTTCCGACCGAATTCGCTGAAATTTGGTACTTTGTGTTCTTATTGGGTAGCAAATCTCCCTACCAAAAATTATAAATAACGGTCTATTTTTTCGCATAGCCCCCATATAAGGGTACCCCCAAATTTGCGGTATTTTGAGGTTCTTGAGCGCGTTTTTTTAACTGAATTCGCTGAAATTTTGTACATTGAGTTCTTATTGGGTAGCAAATCTCCCTACCAAAAATTATAAATAAAGGTCCATTTTTTCGGATAGCCCCCATATAAGATTACCCCCAATTTTCGGTATTTTGGGGGTTTTGATTGCATTTTTCGACCGAATTCATTGAAATTTGGTACTTTGTGTTCTTATTGGGTAGCAAATCTCCCTACCAAACATTATAAATAAAGGTCCATTTTTTCGGAAAGCCCCCATATAAGGGCACCCCCAATTTTCGGTATTTTCGTGTTTCTGGGCTCGTTTATAACTGAATTCGCTGAAATTTTGTACATTGGGTTCTTATTGGGTACCAAATTACTCCACTAAAAATTATAAATATAGGTCCAGTTTTTCTGGTAGTACCCATATAACGGTACCCCAAAATGTTTGGTATTTTGGGGGTTCTGATCGAATTTTTCGACCAAATTGACTGTAATTTAGTACGTCGAGTTCTTATTAGGTAGCACATCTCTCCATCTAAATTATAAATATTGGTCAATTTTTTCTGGTAGCCCCCAGGTTTTGAGGTTCTTGAACCAAATTCTTGTTTCTGGTACAGGGTATTATGTTTTTGTGCATATGTTTGTAACATGCAAAAATAATCGAGATAGACCCATGGCTCCTTTTGAGAATATGCATAGAATCACTTTTTGAGTCGATTTAAGCACGAAATTTGGCACAGCGTAGCAAATTAGGTCTAGAATGATGTGTGTAAAGTTGCCTGAAAATCGGTTCAGATTTATATATAGCTCCTACATATACTTTCGTCAGATTTAATGTAAATGGTGCACCAAAGTCCCTATATATCTTTCGATTTGCACGAAATTTGGCACAGCGTAACAAATTAGGTCTAGAAGTTTCCTGAAATCGGTTCAGATTTAGATATAGCTTCTATATCTGACCAAGTGAAAAATTTAGTATCGGTTGCAGAATGACGTGTTTATGGTTCCAATTTCATTTTACTGGTCCTTTAAAAATGCGACTTCTGTTAGGATTCATCTGTTGAATATACTCAAAGTGGTGAAGGGTATCATATAGTCGGCCCCGTCCGACTTTACTACTTTCCTTACTGGTTTAGAAATATTTTTTCACCCACCTAACATAAGCTTGTATGTTAAAAAAAAAGTAAGGAAAGTTCAAAATCCGGACGGTGCCTACTATATGATACTCTTCACCACTTTGAGTGCCTATCTGAAATTTATGAAAAATTGAATGTCAATCATCGAGCAAAATATGTAAAAGATCTATATAAATGGACACAGTGCACTATCCAAAATTTATCTCGACACAAAATCCAATACAAAACTTGCATCAATTTAGACTTAATTCAGTACTCTGTGCAAAATTTTGTCTCAATCGGACAAAAATCTATAGTATGGTGCACCATTTACATAAAATCGGATGGAACTATATAGGGAACTATATCTAAATCTGAAGCGATTTAAAAAAAAACTTCGCGTACATCAATCTGGCCTAATTCAATACTCTGTGCAAAATTTTGTCTCAATCGGACAAATTTCGGCAGTATGGTGCTCTATTTGCATAAAATCGGACAAAACTATATATGGGAGCTATATATAAATCTGAACCGATTTCAACAAAACTTTGCATATATGAATCTAGACCTAGAATCTAGCTCTATGCAAAATTGTTCTTAATGGGACAAATATTGGAAGTTTGGAGCATCGTTTAAAATCGGACGAAATATGGCAGATATATCTAAACTATTTCTCATATGTTTATTCATCCACCTAACATAGTCGTGGATATTTTCAAAAAAATCATGGACCTAAGCCTGAATTATTTACGCACCACGTAACATACAATATTGAATAAAATTTTGGACTCTAGCTTTTGACATGGTTCGGTCAGTCAGAACATGACGGCGTATTTACATGTCTAAAAACATTTACATGTACATCAACATAATCATGATATTTTATATTTGTTATGGACCCATCATAGGCCTCGAATTCTGAAAACCTGGCATTGGCCTGGGTTTTTAATACCCTCCAACAAATCGAAATATTTACCGGACACCCCACAAAGTATTCCTGTAGATTTAGTAATTGTATGTAGATTTAGTAATGTCCGTTTGTCTGTCTATCCGTCTGTTAAATCACAATAGAAATCGCAATAGTAAGATAGAGCCCTGAAATTTCGCACAGACATTTCTAGTACTAATAGGATATCTGGTATTGCAAATATCATATATCAGTCCAAGTTTTGATGTAGATTTGATGGTTGATTTAGTACCGACTTGACTGTAATTTAGTTTTTTGAGTTCTTATTGTATATTACATATCCGTGCTAAAAATTATTATTATTGGCCCAAGTTTCAAGGTAGCCACCAAAATTCGTTATTTAGGGAATTTTGGACATGTTTTTCTACCGAAATGGCTTTAAATTCGTATTTTGGGTATATTAGTATTTTGGGTTCGCAGAGTATAGAACATCCTTGTACTAAAAATTTCTAATATTGAACCAAGTTTAAGTGTAGCCCCAAATATAATTGTACCCCCACATCTCATTACTAAAATGATTTCACTACCCAAAATAATCAATATTGATCCCCGTTTCGACTTAGCCTGATAAAACCCTAGCCCCTTTATTAGGTAATCATCTCGTTCTCATATATTTTTCGGTATATTCAAGGTCCTATAATAGCCCCTATTAATTTTATATATTTTGAATGCCATCTTCATGGTGGAGGGTATAACAAATTTATATATTATTTATATAAATTTTGAGTCACTAATATTGAGAAATCTCCGTATAAAATCCGTCGCTATATATATTTTTATTCGTCGAGGATGTTTGGAGTTCAAATATATTTTTTAAATATACATTTTTAATCGTAACATTGACATTGATTATTTAACCCTTTGTGTCCCAATGTTGCCTACAGGCAACAAAATGTTTTAAAGCTTGTATTTAATATGCCGCTAGCAGATGACTATGGACGACACGTATCAAAAGAAAAATCAAAAACATTCAAAATGTTGATAAAGTTATGAGCTTTTCAATATAGAGAAGAGATAAATTTGTATACAGTACTAATTTGTGTATACAGTCCAAATTATTTATATCGCATCGTATTCAAATTGTACGAATTCTGCCGTCAGAATTATTTTTTTTATCCTTGTAAAAATTAATATAGAGAATAATTTAAAATTATTTTTTGACGATTTTGTATTTATTTTTCTTGATATTGGACTTTATTTTTTCCGAAAGAATGTACTGTATCCCCCGAATGCAAGGATGTAGCGATGTCAAATTTTGTGCATTTCCTCTTTAGGATACTTGCATTAAATCTGTGAACAGAAATTGTTCTAAGATAGCGGAAAAAATCGGGGCTCAAAGGGTTAACAATTCTTTTTCAATAACATTTTTATGTCCTTGATTTTAAAACAATCTTTTTAAAAGCTTA